TTTCTGTGTGGCATGACACTGGCCATCATGGAAACACCTTTCAGCACACAGTGGAATGTTCTTCGGTTTGGGACATTGACCCGGCTTCACTGCATGGACACAGATAGTCAGCTTTAGTTTGTGCATATAGACAGTATGCCACTCCAATATACAGCACAAAACATGAATAACCAGTTGTACCTACAGAGCGAATTATATTCTAAGTATTAGTCCTCTATTTTGTAAAGCCATCCCGTGTTTAAAACTATATCCCAAGGCAGCGGTTCTCAATTCCAGTCCTCGCGTACCCCCACTCTGCATGTCTCGGTTAACACCTGATTAAGATCATCATGTCATTAGAAGTGAGCGCCGTGCATGAAATGTGTTCCGATTGACATGGTCCCTACACAGTGTCCATTGCTCCCTACTCCCTGAGCAGGGGAACTCAGTTGAAGTTTACTTCACTTCGGAATATTCATTTACAGATTTGCGCTGCGCCGCTGCCTGCAGCGTCTTCACACACGCATACGAAACTTACTAGAGAAGGGTGAAGTGGGACATAATGTACCTCTGTAAACAAATACAATTTAAATCCATGTCTCGCACACTTAAATGCCCTTTGTATGGAACATACGCTCTCTTCAAACTGGAATCATGGAGGAATATCCGGTAACGTCCACGTCGCAGGGCACTTGCAGTCAAATATAACAAACGTCTGAAGCAATAAGAGCAACATACAAAATGTGCAGAGCGGGGGTACGCGAGGACTGGAATGGAGAACCGCTGTCCTAAGGGATCAATTCAAACCTACTTTAGGCGAGAACAACAAAAAGGCAAAAATTTATCATAAACAACTGACTAAAAGAACAAATACCTGTATATGGAGCCGTACAGTAACGTCCACATCCATTACTGCAGCACTTCTCATTGTTGGGACAGTTAGAGTCACTCTCACAGGACCTGGTACACGATCTTCTTCCTAATGATTGGGGTGGACACTTTCCTGGCTTTGCTGTTATACAGACACATGACAGAGAGTCACTGAATGCCGAACATTTCCATTCACTTAAATTAAAACGTTTTACGTAACATTTCGGTCTCTGCTTAAAACTCACTGAATTCAATGCGTTACTTGGGTTTGTTTTTTTGGAAGACCCCTAGCATCCATTATTTACTGAAACTCACTGGAAACAGGCCCACAGTCAAATCGACAGCATTTGTTCTCCAGAGCAGTCCCTATCTGAAGAACATCCTCGACGGGACGGCACAACAATCAGCTTTGCCGGACAGTAACCGTCCACTAGAGCAGTGGTTCTCAAACCTGTCCTGGAGTACCCCCAGCCCTGCACATTTTGCATGTCTCCCTCATCCATCACACCTGATTCAACTCATCAGCTCATTAGTGGAGACGGCATGACCTGAAGTGGGTGTGTCAGACATTGGGAGACATACAAAACGTGCAGTGCTGGGGGTACTTCATGGAGAGGTTTGAGAACCCCTGTACTAGAGAATTCGAGAGGATCATTAGGGGAGGCCAGGGAGTGCAGTTTCAGCATTTGTAAATCAGGAGTTTTGCAATGAGTCTCAAACCTTAATACAAGTTGGACATGTATCTGCTTCCAATCAAAAGTGTTTCAAAAACCTACTATTTATTCCTAAACGGTGTTAGTTACTTTCAAATACCGAGTGTCACTTATTTCTGCATTTCTTCAGGCTGCGTAATGAAGTCAACAGATCTTCTCACCTATGGTTTGTCCATGAGTAGCTTCTGTTATGCTCAAGTATCCGAACAGACACGATAAAACAGCAATTAACGAGAAATACACTCGAGCTGTCATTCTCCCAACTTTCAATCTCACAATGATCTCTGCTGAAAAATGCACTGTATTGGTGCGTCAGGAAAAGCAGACAGCGAAGCGCACAAAACTAAAACACATAAACGTGTTGCTGCAATATCAACCTCTGTATAATGGGGTTTTAAAGATCCAAGGAGATCAGATCAACTCCAACCCTGATCAAACTCACCTGCCTGTAGCTTTCTAGTAATCTGACTGGAAGACCTTGATTAGCTTGTTCGGGTGTGTTAGATTGGGGTTGGATGAGCTGAATGCGGTGTTCACACCATGTCATAATAATTAAGGTAGCCTAATTATGAGAGGATTGTGCGCTTCTATGGCGACACTATCAACTGCGAAATGAATCTGCAGTGGTCAGGTGGTACAGCGATCATGTTGTGGTACAAATAGATGTGTTCGACTTCATGCAGCGCTGCACAGACCGAAGCAGTGCGTGGCGGTTCTTTTTCTTCTTTTAATTAACCAGACCAAAATAATAACCATAAATAATAAACATTAATGCAGAAGAGTGTACAAACCATTTATTTAGTATTCAACAACTGTATATATTCGTGGAAAATTTTACAAGTTCTTGTTTGCTTTTTTATTAACAATGTTCTCCAAACTGATGCAGTAGTCATTGTCTCCTGAAGAAAATGGATGAAATTTGGCTTGGACCCTGATCTTCTTCTTATGTATGTGAAATTTTCCCAAAATAATAATAAAAAGATGTACAAGAGAAGTAAAGTTATCATTCGGGGTCTCGGAAGTGACGTGATTTATTGGTGCGCCATGTTTCTGTCCAGGAGGTAAGAGCTACTGGTGGTAGTTGCATTATGAACATTCTGTCCAGGAGGTAAGAGCTACTGGTGGTAGTTGCATTATGAACATTTTGTCAAAGAGGGTAATTTGAGACTTATTTAATTTACAGTGTGGCTGAGGAGTAATACGGACACATTGAGCGAATGTTTATCTTTGTGAGTCTTTAACTTGAACGCCATCAAGTGCGCTGGGTGGCGTGAGTTATTATCCACCGGTATGTTATTTATTTCATGCCTGGGTTAAAGAGATGGTCATTTTTTCCTTTTTAAATTTAAAGCCTCTTATGTTTTAATAGTGACATGGGGACCAGGAGGTGTTGCATCAGGCTTTATGGGCACTGTTAGGCTTTGTGACCATTCTTGAGCCATATGGATTACTATCTGCATGCGGAAATGAATGCCTGAACCGGAACGTTTCCGGACGGATTGGATTGTGTTTTATTCTCTCTGCAAGCTGCTCTCCTCGACCACTCTTCTGTCTCATACCGGACGACGCATTTGTTGCAGTTGTGTATTTAACA